GGACTCAAAATTTTAAAAAGCAAATGTTAAAAATTGTTCTAACATGTAATTGAGTAAAAAAATTTTTTAAAAGAAAAAATATACCTTTAAGAGAATGTTCCTTCATGAATCCTGTACACAATTTACTGATCCTTGACCATACCCTATGCTTTCCTGCCTTTGATCATCCTGTTCCCTAGAATGGTATGCCTTCCTCCCCACTCACACCCCTCAAAAAAACAAAACAAAACAAAAAACAAACAAAAAAACCACGTCAACTTCAGCTTTCAAATTCCTAGCCTAACTTTCAAGGCCCAACTCAAATGTGACTTGTAACATGAACCCTTCCCTGAACCCATAGGCAAAAAGCAATCTCTCCCTCTTACAAATTTCCAAAGCACTCTGTACTTTTCACTGAACTTTCAAATTCTACCTTCCATTATTTATTTGTATACATGTCTTCTTTTTTTAAAACAGATTATAAACAACTTGAAGCCATGACCTGTTACACAATAACAAACTTATAAAATGTCAAAATTGGAATGGACTTTAAGATATCCATTTAAAACTCTTTTAAATCCTTTTATTCATATATATAAGAAAAATGTGTTCCAAAGCAATTAAGTGACATAACAAGGTCACCTGGCCAGTAAGTGTCAGATCTAGGTAGAGAACTCAGATTTTCATGCCTCTTCATTCAGAGTTTCACCATGCTCTGTTTTATTAGTAGTGGTGAAGATGACATAGTGGATCAGAAGCTAGTCTCAAAACCAATAAGACCGCCACTCAAGTCCCACCTCTGACACACAGTGGCCACATAGTTTTAGGTAAGTCATTTACCCTTTTGGTACTCTGGGCAATTCTCTAAGTCTCTAAGGTAAAGAGAATGTATCAGGAGATGATGTTTCCTCATCTGGGAATTCCTTATACCAATGAAATCACAAATCCAGTCCTTAATTCCTTATCCCAATGTTACTGCTAGCAATAATAATACAAATTCACATTTATATAACATTTTGAAGTTTTATTCATCTTTGCATCTCTCCTAGTGCTGAGAAGAATGACTTACTTATAGCTGATGCTCAATAAATATTTATTAAATTGACATGAATTAACACATTTGCATAAGCAGAAAACAGTTTATTGAGGAGGATGTATACACAAGTCAGCAAAATTTTGATGGAGGAGGAAGGGACGGGGCTTCAGGAGGCTTGAATCTGAAGCACAAGGAACTACTGCTCAAGGAGTCAGGCCCAGAGCAGCTGTCAAAGGGTGGGGCTTCTAGATATTATGAAGAAACAACACAAGACATGTGGGGATGGAGACTGTTAAAAAACTATCTTTACGGAAGCTCTGTGGCATAATGGAAGAACTAGACTGGGAATATGGAGTCCCAACTCTGCCACTAACTACCATTTTAGCCAAATCATTTCCCCTCTGAGTTTGTCTACAAAATGAGAAAACTAGATTGCTGCTGTTCAGTAGTTGCTGAATCTCCATGGCCCTATTTGGGGTTTTCTTGGCAAAGATACTGGAATGGTCTGTCGTTTCCTTCTCCAGCTCATTTTACAGATGAGGATAAGCCAACAGGGTTGAATGACTTGCGGAGGGTCACACAGCTAGTGTCTGAGGCCAGATTTGAAGTCTTCCTGACTTCAGTCTATCTAGCTGCCCAAAAAATTAGATGAGATGACCTCAAAAGTCCCATCCACAAAGTCCCTATGATTACTTTACTTTACAGTGGCTCTTTAAAATGGCAATAATAGTAATAACCTATTGATTTCCACATGCACTATCTTGTTGGTTCTTCATTAATCTGTGAGGTAAACAGAGCTGGTTATAATTTTCCCCTTTTCTCCACATAAAGTTTAACTTTATGAGAAATAATACTACCACAATGACACAGTTAGTTGTTGGTAAAGCCTAGGTCTCTTAGTTCAGTACTCTTTCATTACACCCACACCAATTCTTCCTTAATTTTTACTTCTATACAGATAACAGCAAGCATTTACATAGCACTTTTAAGATTTGTACATGCTATTTCATGTGATCCTCACAACCACCCTATAAGGTTGGTGTAATTATTATCCTCATTTTACAGATGAGAAAACCAAGGCTCAGATTAAGTGACTTGCTCAGGGTCACAAAACTTATAAGTTATCTGGTGTACAATTTGAACTCAGATCTTTCTGACTCCAAATCCTGGACTCACAACCACTTTACCACCTAGCAATGATTCCTGGGTCTACTGCACCCAGTCACAGCTTCTCTCCTGAGCATATCAACCACCTATTTGACATTTTGAACTAGATGTTTCATAGGCATATGTTGAACTCAGCATATCTAAAAAGAACTCATTATCTTACTCCTCCACCTAAATTAATCATTCTTACAAACTTCCAATTCCTATGGAGTATACTGTCAATTTCCCAGCACCCTTCCCTTACTCCCTCACCCCATCTAGCTAATCAGATGCCAAATCTTCTCTTTCCAAAATACCTCCTGGCTAAGTCCCCAATTTCCTACTTGTACAGCCACCACCCTAGTTCAAGTTCTCCCCACCTCTATCCTCAACAAATGCAAAAACCACCAGTAAGTCTCCCTGCCTCAATTCTTTCCCCACTCTAATCCATCTTTCACACAGCTACCAACGTAATTTCTCCTAAAGAGCAGGGCTGCCTGTATCACCCTACCCCTCAACTCAATAAACCCTTTGGATCAAATAATAAACTCCTTTTGGCATTTAAACATCTTCTCAATCTGGCCCCTTCCTATCTTTCCTGCCTTCTCACATATCACTTCCCTACGTACATTCTAGCTATACTGCCTTTTTGCTCCAAGAACACACTTTTCCTTTCTCTGTGCCTTTGCATTATCTCCCATGACTAGAATGCTCTCCCTCCTCACTTCGAACTTTTAGTATACCTTCCTTCAAGATTCAGCTCAAATACCACCTTCTGCAAAAGGCCTTTCCTCTTCTGTCACCCTGTCTGCTAGTTCTTTCCCTTCTAAGATTACCCTCCTTTTAGATAGGCAACAAGCATTTATTAAGCACCTATCATGTGACTCTAATAAATGCTGGGGGAACCCTTCAGGAACTTACATTCTAATGAGGAAATACATAAAAGGGACCACTAAAAATAGGGAAGGGAGGTACCCAACAGGAGCATGGTGGCTAAATATGGAGAAGGTAGGATGGCTGATCCCCAAAAATGGAAGTTTGAGGAAGAACTCACCAACAACAGCTCTGTGTATGTGTATGTACATGTTGTCTCTCCATTAGAATATGGAAGAATTAGATTATAATAGAATTTTTAATATATATATGTATTTAGGATATATATAATAATACACATAATTAGAATATAAGAATACAAGAGAAATAAGCTCCTTGAGGACAGAGATTGTTTTTACTGTTCTTTTGTATCCCCAGTACTTATTACAGTGCCTAGTATATAGTTAAATGCTCAATAGGAGCCTATAGTTGCCAGGCATGATGTGGAGGGCAGGAGAGAAGAGAAGGTAAGATGTGATAGAAGAGACTGCAGTTGAACTAGGGCTTGAAGGAAAAGAATGGATGTTAACAGGCAGAGTGGGAGGAAAGGTCTTTCCTGGAAGTAGGGGTTCAGTATGGGTAAAGATACAGCGGGAGGTGGTAAGAAAAGTCCAGTCTATGGAAAGGAAATATCTTGAAAACAAAACAAAACCCTAGAAAGGTAAGTTAGAAGCAGATAGCAAATCAGCTTGAATGTCATGCTGAAGCATTTGTATTCTATTCAGTAGGCAATGAATGAATGAATGATCAAAGGTTTTTGAAAGGAAGGAGGCAAAGGAGTTTTTTTTTTTTAAAACTAAGATGATGAAAGGAGTAAGTATCCAACCAGAATCACAATGTAGAAACTGGAAAATTGAACTCAGACCTCTCCCAATCTTATTTCACCCACTCTATATCAAATTTTGAGAAATTACTATTGGTGGGCTGCCTCCTTGACCACAGCAACTTATTCTCAAGTGTCTTCTCTCCCTCTGTCGCCTGCCTGCCTTCCTTCCCTCCTCTTCCCTCTCAATTCCCTCTCTCTCAGGTAATAAGAAATGGAGCTGGAGAAAGGGAACCTCCGAGAAACCCCTTGGAAGAGGGAGAGAAGCACAGGCAGAAGACACCACCACACAGAAGTGGAAAGCAGAGCTGCTCGGCACACCAGCCGCGTCTCTGTCCAGCAGACGGGGGCTTCTAGCTTCTCATCCATTCTGCTCCTCCTGGCTGTACTTCTGCTTTTTCGAAATATCCAGCCCACCTCGCCGAGTCTCATCCTGCGCTTCCCTCAGCCCCGGCGGCCTCCTCAACCGACAGCCCTCGCCTAGCTCGCCACCCCTCGGTGCCTCCATTTTGGGGAGGGGCCTAGGCCTGCCAACCTTCATGTTCCACCAGGCCAAGTCCCACAAGAGACTCCTCCTCCCTTCCAACCCACTTTTTAGCTCCCTTGGGGTGAGTCGCCTTCCCCCAGGAGAACGTAAGCTCCCTGAGGGCAGGGATTTTCCTTCTGCATTTCCTGTATTCCCAGGGCTCTGCACGTCGACCAGAACATTCTAAAAGCTTAATAAACGCTTGTGGCGTTACCTCCCGGGATGTCCCTCTCCACCCTTCTCCCTTCCCTTTCTCTACTCTCCAGCCCCCCCTTTCCCTCTCCGCCCCTCCCCCTCTCTAAAATAGCTGTATTTTTGTTCCCTCAAATCTAGTCTTCCATAGAATCACAGAATGTTAGAGCTGAAAGAGGCTTTCTTTCCTCTGAGATCTAATCTAAGCCCCTCATTTAACAGATGAGTTAACAGGCCCACGGAGGGAATGTGACTCTTCTAAGGTCACACAGCCCATATAAATAGAATAAACAAACGCATCCACGAGATCGGTCGTCGTTAAGGCTCTAAATCTGCCACACAGGGGTAGGCTTGGCCGCCCCCCTCCACCTCTTTCCCCGGTCCCAATCCCCGCCCGCACCCGCAAATCACCCACTCTCACGGACTTGGGCATTACGGATTGTGGCTGCTACCACCGCGCACAGGCCTCCTCCTCCTCCACCTCCTCCTCCAGCAGCCCCGCTCCTCCTCCAGCAGCCCCGCCCCTCTTCCCGTTCTCCCCTTCCGCTCCTTCTCCCCTTCCGCTCTTTCTCCCCTTCGATCCTTCCGCTCCTTCCGGCCTCTTTCCAATCTTCCCAAACGCTACAAAGTAGGACTCGGAATTCCGGTGACTTCCTCCCTAAAATCCCACCCCCTCATCTCCAGCTCCTACAAAACAAAACAAAACAAAACACACATAAAACACACACAAAACAAACAAACAAAAAAAAACCACCCGGCCGTGGCGTTAATTGACTGCCCTCTCGACCAATAGAAAGGCCGATGCAGACTGCCCACCCAATGACAAGCCTCGGGTCTTTCTCTTATTTCTTCTTCATTCTGATCTTAGAGGCAGAAAAGAATTTCCTCAGGTTCCTTTTTTTTTTTTTTTTTTGGCAGAGGGAGGAGAACTGGTTGAAGGTCTTAGGCCAGGCTGAATCGTAGTATCTTAAGTGTAGACCTGGAAGTGTAACCCTCTTGTTTTACAGATAAGGAAACTGAAGTACAGAAAAATTGTCACTTGCCCAGGGTCAGTCAGCTGGCATTAAGCACCTGCTATAGGCCAGGCACCAGGCCAAACTCTGGAAATACACAAAGAAAAAAGAGCCCTAGCTCTCTAGGGGCTCACAGGCTATTGTAATGGGGGGGAGGGTCACTCAGCTAGTATATGTATGAAGCAGGATTTGAACCCAAGTATTTCTGACTCCACTGGGGGCTAAGGGAGTAGATCTTACTTTTAGCGTGGGAGGGATGGTTAGAGATCATCCAAACCCTGCATTGCACAGAAGAGGAAAGTAGGGTTCAAAGTTGGTACCAGAAGAATGGATATCAGGTTCCATTCAAAAAGAATTTATTAAATTATTGTTTAGTATTGAGAATGCTAGACTTGAAATGAGGAAGGCCTAAATTCAAACCTTGCATCTTTTGATGCACTGAGGTATTTAGCATTTACTATCTTCATCAGTAGTAGCTCCTTCTCTGGAGACCTTAGAAAAATCCAAGAGCTACTCGGCATAAACGCACAGACTTTTTTTTTTTTAATTTCTAGTTCCACATTCTTTCCCTCCACCCTCTTTCCTCTTTTCCACACCCACTGAAAAGGCAAGAAATATGCTACCTATTCCACACATACACTCTTAATGTATAGAATCCTGACTTGTGTGGACTCTTAGCTCCTCCTCCAGCATCATTTGTCTCGTCTATAAAAAGAGGAGGTCGGCCAAAAAGGCCTTTGAGGTGTCTTCCCGCTCCAGATCCGGGATGCTACGAATTCTGTCCCATCCTTGCTCACTCCCAATGACATTCACCCTGTTCACACATGTCCTGCGAGGTGTCCCCAAAGCCTTAATGTCATTTTGTGCTTCGACAGCACTAAGACTTTGGGGACAGGGTAAGAAGAGTCAGAGCTCTCCTGGGATGAAACCCCGCAAGTCCTCGCCCCGGCTCCCAGGAACAACCTCCAGGGAGCGATGGTCTAGGCCAAAGTCGTGCAATAACGGGGGGGGCGGGGGGGGCGGAGGGAAGGCAGGGCCTCAGGCCCTCGGCTTGTTCCCTGCAACCTCTCTGGACCCAGCCAGAGGACGTGCGGGGGAGGCAGGCTGGCCAGGAGGCGGGTCCTTCCTTAAGAGAGCCGCCGACGCGCTAAGGCGGCGGCCTCAGACCGGGCTGGGCGCCGGGGACTCCCGCACCTCCCACCTCCCACCTCCCACCTCCCCTCCCGCCGCGTGCGGCTGCGGAGCCTCCCCCAGGGTGCGAGCCGGTCTCGGTCATGGCCCACCGCCGGCGCGTGGAGGAAGAGCAGCCGCTGGAGCGGCTCTTCAGGCTGGTCCAGGACGGGCAGCTCAGGCCCTTGCAAGAGCAGCTTGGGAGAGCGGAGCCCAGCAGCAGCTGGCGGGTGAAGACCGGCTGCCCAGGCAGAGGAGGTGACACCCTCCTACATTCTGCGGCCCGGCACGGGCACCGGGACATCCTAGCCTACCTGGTTGAAGCTTGGGAGCTGGACATCGAGGCCTCTAACCGGGACTACAAGCGTCCCCTGCACGAGGCGGCGTCCCAGGGGCACCGGGACTGCTTGCTTTATCTGCTGAAAAGAGGGGCGGCTGTGGACTGCCTGAAGAAGGGGGACTGGTAGGTGGGAAGGGTTTGGACGTATCCGTAGATTAAACGCTTCTTAAAGATAGGCTATGGCTTCGGCGACCTTCCTTATTTCTGTCACCTTAAACTGCTGGCTCATCATGCAATTTTGAGCTTCACCCCCCTCACACGACCTTCTCCTAAAATGCAGTCCTCTGGTTAATAGACAGGGCAAATAAACGACAGCTTATGGAGTGCCTGCTGTGGGTCTTTGCAGGCAAAGTTAATGGGAGAAATAAAAGAAAAATATAAAGCATTTCCCTTATCCTTAAAAGAGTTTAAAATCTGGCATTCAAGGAACATAACTCTAATAGTGAGAGTAACTGACATTTCGGTAGTCCTTTCAAATAAGTACTTCAGAGACTTTGGTAGGTACTACAAATGTTATTCCAGTTTTACAAACGAGACCTCAGTTCAAATTCTACCTTATTAACTGATCAAGGGTGTCACTTAACCTTTCAGATCCCTCAGTGTCCTTATATGTAAAATGTAGATAATAATCTTCAGTTTATTGTGAGAAAAGCATATCGCAAACCTTAAAGCACTATATGCATGTAAATTCCTCTAGGTTTTGTTTTTTTTTTTAAGCGAGACAGCCACCTTATTAATTGCATTCATTTTTCCAATTTACATTTTACCAAGTTTTTCGAGACTGGTTCACTGTAGCACCCACTATGCTATGTCTGTGAAACTCTGTTGAGAAATCTTTGCCTTCCAAGATAATTTTTTAATGTTATAAATCAGAGACATAAACTATAGACAGCTGCAGTGATAAACTAAATACCAGCTGAGATCCTATAAAATGGAAGTACTACTGTAACAGAAGTGTCCAGAAATTGCACTAATTAAATTTTGGTAGACATGATTTATCCTTTCCATCTCTAAATCTATAGATTTTATGACTCTGAAACAGAGTGGCATAGAAGATAAAGAGCTGGCCTTGGAGCCAAGGCCTGCCCATCATACATACTTAACTTGACTGAGCAAGTCCTGAAATCTTTCTGTGCTCAAGGCAACTCTCTTAGGAATATAACTGGCAAAGAATCTGCTGACCTGCATTAGAAGAGGAAAAGCTACCAGAAGGCCCCTACCACTACCACTACCACCATGTGGACTGAGCTAGTTCTTTTCCTTAAAAAGGTATTTAAATTGTCAGGAAGACTTAAATGGCTTGAGGGAGTAAAGGTCCAGGCTACATACATCACTCCCTGGTCACCTGAGTACAAAAAAACTACAGAGCTCCAGCCCCACGCTGATGCTAGGTTGATATATCTGTTACTGAGCAAATTAACCACAGTATCCTCAGGGCATATCCTTGTTGGATATACTTTCTCCTGCCATGACTAAGTAAACTGCCTTTTGTAACTGTTGAATGACTTACAAATGTTTCATTTTGTTCTGGTATTGGATCTAAACTATCAAAGGACCAGCCTGAGTCAGGTGAAGCCCACCACAAAGTGACTTCCTCATTAGGAAGTTCCTTAAATCAGTGAAATTACAGATCACTATAATGCATAACATTTCGAGACAGTCAAACAAAGCAACAAGCATTTATTAAAAAATTGTTATGTACCAGGCAGTCTTTGGAGATACACACACACACACACACACACACACGACATGACACCTACTCTCAATGAGTTTACATTCCGTTGAGGTAGACAACATGTAAATATCTAAGTACAGAATGGATACAAGGGAGATGCTGCAACAGTAGTTAGGGAGGGCTATGACAGTATAGAGAGTGATATTTGAGCTTCCTCGGAAGGAAGTGAGGGATTCTATGAAGTAAAGGTGAGAAAGGCACCGTTTGTGAGAGAGAAGACCAATTTGCTTGGACCATGGAATGCAAGAAGGGAAGGAGTACATAATGAAACTGCCGAGTTCAGTATAGGCCAAGTTGTAAACAGCTTTAAATCCCGAGCAGAGAAGTTTACATATGATACTAGGAGTAATTTTTGGTAGTTTGATTGGTATGGCACTGAGTAAGTAAATTAGCTTAGGTAGAATTGTCATTTTTAATATATTAGGTCGGCCTACCCACGAGCAACTGATGTTTTTCCAATTATTTAGATCTGACTTTATTTATATGAAAAGTGTTTTGTAATTGTGTTCATATAGTTCCTGGGTTTGTTTCGGGAGGTGGACTCCTAAATATTTTATAATATCTACAATAAGTTTAAATGGAATTTCTCTTTCTATGTCTTGCTGTTGGGCTTTGCTGGTAATATATAGAAATGCTGATGATTTATGTGGGTTTATTTTGTTATTTTCTCAAAGTCTACAAAACAGGCAGAGAAGCTGCTAATAGAGACCATAGACTTTTACTATCCTATTTCCCAGCTCTTTGATCTTTCTAGTTTCCCCTATCAGTACAAACTATAAGTATCAAGCAATTGTCCACAGTACTAGTGTTTAGCTATTCTTTGACCTGAGAAGTTTCTCCTTTCTGGCCTTAGGACTCCTCTGATGATGGCTTGCACAAGGAAAAACTTGGAAGTGATCCAGGATCTTGTGGAGCATGGGGCCAATCCAGTCCTGAAGAACAAAGATGGCTGGAACAGCTTTCATATTGCCAGCCGAAAGGGTGACCCTGTGATCCTCCAGTACTTGCTTACTGTTTCCCCAACTGTCTGGCAGACAGAGAGCAAAATCAGAAGAACACCTCTACATACTGCAGGTATGGACTCTGGGCTGTTCAGAGTACTGGATTTGGAATCAAAAAATATGAGTTCACATCCCAGTGCTGCTACTTACTTCCTGAATGACTTTGGCCAAATCACTTAGCCTTTTAGTTTGCTTCTATGTAAAGAGAAGATTGGACCAGATTATCCCTAAGGTCTTTTCCATATCTAAGTCTTTAGAGATCTTTAATTCTAGAGCTGCACACATATTGGATTTGACTCCTTTTTTTGTAGGCTGGAGTACATAACATAATTGTAGTGCCATATGCCCAGTGCTAGATAAGATATTGAGATGAGATGTGGTCCCTGCTTTGATGGAGCATAGAACCCAGTGTTGGGGAGGGGATATCACACAAACACATAAATAACTAAAGACGTCGTCATCCATGTCAAATCCACTAACCATATGGGTCCCCCAAAGCTCTGTCCTGGGGACTCTTCTCTTTTCCCTCTATACTATTTCACTTGATGATATCATCAGCTCCAGTGGGTTCAGTTATCATCTCTATGAAGATGATTCTCAGATAGCCCTAACCTCTTTTCCAACCTCCAGTCTCATATCTCTAATTATAAAATGAGGTCTTTGCAAAACACTTAGTACAGTGACTGGCACATAGTAGATACTATATAAATGCTTATTCCCTTTCCCCTCTACCCCCCACCTCAACATTAGATATCTCAAACTGGATGTCTTGTAGACATCTTAAATTCAACATATCCAAAACTGATCTCATTGTCTTTCTCCCAAAAACTCCTCTTCCTAACTTCACTGTTACTGTCAAGGGTACCATCTAGTCACCACGGCTCAAAATCTCAGTCATCCTTGACTGCTCATTCTCTCTCACCTCCCATATTCCATCTGTTGCCAGGACCCATTATTTTTGGTTGGTTATATCTCTAGTATACAACATTCTTCACACAAGATATTCTATCTCTTAATGCTGAAAATGTACACTGGTTGTCTCCCATGCCTGGACCTCTCTCCATTTTGATCTCTGCCTCTTGGATCTTCTAGTTTTATACAAATCTCAGCTAAAGTCCTGCTTTCTGCAAGAAGTCCTCCTTAATCTTAGTGCCTTCCCTCTGAGGCTAACCCTAATTTATCTGATATATATCTTGTTGTGCATAGTTGTTTCTCTATTGTCTTCCCCATTAGACTGTAGGATCCTTAAGAGCAGGAACTTTTTTTTTCTTCCTTTCTTTGTATCCCCAGAGCTTAACACAGTACCTGAAACATGGGTGCCTTAGTAAATGCTAGTTGAATAACTAACTCACTGACATATAAGCAATACATGAGAGAGGTACAAGCAAATTACTAATATGAGGTCCAAGGTAGAGGATGAGAGGTTAATCCTCACTGGGGAAAATGTTAAAAGGCATAACAGAGATGGTGGTATTTGAGTAGGATTATAAAGGATAGCTATGAATTAAAGCATTCAAGGTACAATATGAGCAGAAGCATAGAAGTGGAGTATAACACTTTGTGGTAGACAGTCAAATTTGGCTGTAGCATAGAGTATGAGAAATCAACAAAAAGTTGGATGGTGCCAGATTTGAGGGGCCTTGAATGACAGGCAAAGAATTTTGAACTTTATTTAGTAACTAGTGGAGATTCATTACAGGGTTTTGAGAACTGAAATAACATAACCAGATCCATGTTTAAGGAAGATGAGTTTAGATTTAAATAATTGGAGAAAAATATTCATTGTTCATGGGTAGGTAAAGCCAATATATTAAAAAACATTTGACAATGTAACTAACATCTATTTACTCAAATGCCATGCCAATTAAATTATTTTACCAAGTCAGAAAAATAATAACAAAGCTCATTTGGAAGAACAAAAGGTCAAGAATTTCAAAGAAACTAAGGGGGAAAAAAGTAAAGGAAGAAGATTCAGCAGCACCAGACCTTAAACTATATTATAAAGTGAGAGCATTGTATACAATGGATAATTTTGATTATTTTAAATTTTAAAATTCTTGTATAAATAAAACCACTGTAGCCAAAATTAGAAGGAAAGCAAAAAATTGGCAAAGGATTTTCATGGACAGTTTCTCAGATAGAATATGATTGTGAAGGAATACTGCTGTAATACAAGAAATGATGAGCTGGTTGATTTAGAAAAACATGTAAAGACTTGGACCTATGAAGGAAGATGCTGTCCACCTCCAGAGAGAGAACTGATAAATAGAAATATGCATAGTATAGTCTTACATATAGGATTGTGTGAGTATATAATATATATATGTATGTTTATAGATATAGATTATATATATTCATATCCAATTGTAGCCTTCTCTAGGGTAGGGGAGGAAGAAGGGAAAAAATTAAAAGTATACAAGAGAGAACAAAAGAAAACCTAGCAAGAATCACAGAAAAGCTGGGTTACTTTGAAAACAATGTGTAGGATTTATTACATAGGTTTTTGAGAAATGGAATTTTATTATTTTATATTGAATCCTTCCTTATTTTCTACTATATACATGGAAATATTCTTTTCTTTTCACATTTTGTATTTAAATTCAAAATGAATAATTTTTTTAATTTAAAAAGTTTAAATTTTAAAAAAGGAAGATAAATCTGGCAGCATCTGGAAAAATATAGATTACATAGGAAAGGGACTTTTCATTTTTGTCTCTGTCCCAAATGCTTAACATGAAGCTTGAAAAATGCTAGGCACTCAATGAATGTTTATTGAATCAAGTGTTATTGATTAGTAATAAAAGTATTTAGAATAAATAGAAGTTATTAGAGTAAATGAGATTCTTATTTTTTATCCCACCACCAACATCATCAAAAAGGCAAAATATAAGATTAGATGACATAATAGGGAGAAGAGGTATGGAATAAAATCCTGGATTTTTTGAGTTTGAAGAAATCTTAGTAGTCATTTAATCTAAAATATTCTCTGTACACATGAAAAAACTGAAGCTAAAGGAAGAAAAACAGAAAGAAGCTTAAGTTTTTTCAAGGGAAAGAAAAGGGATGAAGGATTTTCATGGTATTTTGACATTAAACTAATTTCATGCAAATAATATACAAGCCTGGTCAAGTCAAGCCAAGCCAACAAGCATTTATTAAGTTCCAGGCACTGTGCTAAGTGCTGGGGCCACAACACAAAACCAGTCCCTGTCCTCAATGGGCTCACATGCCAGTGGGAGAAACAGGATTTAAAGTAGTTACAAACAAGATATAGACAGGATAAACTGGGGGTAACCCCAGAGAGAAGGCAGCAGCAAAAGTTTCTTGCTGAAGCTGATACTTGAGGAAGCCAGGGAAGCCAAGAAACAAACATGAGGAGGAAGAGAGGTCCAGATATGGGAGACAGCCAGCAAGCATGCCCAGAGCCAGGAGACGGAGTGTTTTCTTCAAGGAATAGCCAGGAGACCAGTGTCACTAGATAGCAGAGTAAGTGGAGGGGAGTGAGAGAAAAGAAAGGAAGAGGTCTGGTTATGAAGGACTTTCAAAGCTAGTGGATTTTATATTTGGTCCTAGAGGTAAGGAGAATCCTGGAGTTGTCTGAATACGGGGGTGTGATTATTGTCAGATCTGTGCTTTAGGAAGATCAATTTGACAGCTGAATGGGGGATGGATTAGATCAGGGAGAGACTTGAGGCAGGGAGACCAACCAGCCGGTTATTGCAGTAGTCCAGGAAATAGATGATGACAACCTATACCAGAGTGGCTGCAATGTCGAAAAAGAGAAGGGGATGTATAGGAGAGATATAACCAAAGCAAAAATGACAGGAGTTGGTGACATATTAAATATAGGGATTGAGACTGAGTAGTCAAGGATAACACCTAGCTTGCAAGCCTAGGTGAGTGGGAGAATGGTGGTAACTCTCTACAGTAACAAGGAAGTTAAGAAGAGATTTGGATGTGCCAAGTTTAAGATGTCTATGAGATATTCAGTTAAAGATGTCCAATAGGCAGACAGATACAAGATTGGAGGTCAGGAGAGGATAGGACTGGTCAGATATATCTGAGAATCATTTATATGGAGATGACAATTTAAATCATGAGAACTGATAAGATCGTTAAGTGTAATAGTACATATAGGAAAGATTATAGTATATAGCATAGACATGCAAATGTGTTACATGTATCATGTGCTCATTCAAAAATTTTTTCCGTGATTCTCCATTGTCTACAGCATAAATTCCAAATTTCTTAGCTTGACATTCAAAGACTTTTTTAATCTGGCCCCAGTTTATCTGTCCAATGTTATTTCCCTCTGTTTTCAAATAATAACTACTTTGTTCTAGCCAGACTGGTGTCTCCTCATACACCTCACTCATTATTGCTTTCATTCCTTTGCTCTTTTCCCCTATCTAAAGTTAATTAAATTAACTCATATTTCTTCTGTAGCTATCTAAAACTTGTCTATCCTGCAAGACTCAGTTTAGTGTTAAGTCTAGGGAATTAACTGTCCACTATAATATTGTCTTATCTAATGTTTAATTTTCATTGAATTAAATGATGATGTTAGATTGTTGTAGGGCCTGTTGAACTGTGGCTGCTGGTTCCTTATAACCTCTTATTATGTGTATAAGAATATATTTTTTTACCTATTAGAATTTTGTAATTACAAATGCCATTTACAGTTACACTGAGAAATATAAATTAATCAAATTGTTTACTATTGAATATATACATGCATATATACACTTATAAATAGCTATATTAACAAGTAAGGCCTTGAAGGGATCTTTGTGTTTTGAAAGTTTGTTTCTGAAGTTGGAGAACTAGACATTTTTTCTGATTCCCATTACCTCTCAAACTTCTCCAAAATAGAATTATGCACAAAAAATAAAGTAACCTTAACTGTATCCATGGTCTAGAATATCTAGAATCCAAAAGAAATTTTTTTAAAGCATGAATTGACACTCATTGACCTTGAGCTCACCCAGCACCCCTCTCCACCTCCCACACTTAAGGGCAACAAGACTGCATTAGCAGAACTCACAGGCAGAGACCCCATCTCTACGCTACAGA